TTGAACTCACAAGCTGTGAGATCATGACCTGAGCCGAAGTAGGATGCTCAACCGACTGAGCCACCCAGGCGCCCCTGGCATGAACATAGTTTAAAGAAGGTAACATGATTTAAAGCTGCATGTCACACACTGACCAGAGAGTGTTTATGAGAGTATAGAGGCATACTGACAAACTAGACAAAATAAAAGCAGTATACCATCATTTAAAACAATTTGCTTCATTCTAACGTATTTTTTTGTGGCTGCATTATAAGAACATTTTTCTATTAACTATAAGATAAGTACTTATAGTAGCATTAGTCTTTCAATTTCAATCAGCCATGTTGAGGTTCTGGGGTGTTTTTCTGAAACACTTTTTATTTATTTAGGTTTCTGCTAAGATGCTCAAGGAACTTTCCAATATGTACCAGACAGCTTTATAGTGACACAGAATGACTCTACATAAGAGACTGCACAGATATACAAAGAACAAGGCTTCTCCCAGGCTGTTTGGAATTTTGAGGCTTGGTGGGTGTTGAATTTTTAAACTATAGCAATGATAAGGGCCAATTTAAAAAAAAAAATTAAGTTTCTGTTTATTCGAGGGATTACAAACAGGAAGATTTATCTATTATGTCTAAAGCAGACTTTTAGGGATATAATTCAATAATTTTTTTCCTATTATTTCTAATAAGAAGGTAAAATGATATTGAAATCATTTTCAACTATTCTAAGTTGTCAAACCACTCTTTTCCCGTTCACTTAAAATTCTACAAATTGTACAACTATAGTATGTAAATGCCAATCTTTGAAGCCTTTCTGCTCTAAAGAGAAATTCAGAGGTTCAGAAACTAGATTTGGTGATACCTACATAATTACTTTATTTACTTAAAAAGTACTTATTCTGTGCCCTACTTATACACAAAATACTCAATTAGGTGCTGACTGTATATTTTATGAACAAGGTATCATAAGCCATTATTTGTCACTACTTGCAAGTCTTCTAACTTGTAATGGTATTTGTTTTTTGCAAGATGGGGGCAAGGACAGAAAAGCAGAGAGTCAAAAGATTTGATAGTTTGCAGAATGAATTGGACAGAACAAAGAATGGTAAAAATACAGGGGTAGATCCTGCAGGAAAACTAGAGGGGTCTATGCTTAAGAACTATGGCTACATTTTCTCAGCATAGATTTGGCACAGAAAACAGAAAATATAGGCACGAAGACTCTAAATAGCCTTGCATTTCCAGCCCTCAACTTTCCTCAGAGGTTGGAAAGCAAACATGGGACATTTGCAAAGAACAGGAGATGGATTTTACCTGTTTGTGGTGCTCAGAGTTGGCTGCCTCTTGCTGTGAGTGGAATGAAAAGTAGAGATTTCAAAGGGGCAGGTAGAAGGCCCACGCTGGCTCCAAATGGATAGCACTCGGCCCACCGAGTAGGGCAGAGAACAGAAGACCTTGTCTGCTATGGAGGCTGGAGATCTTAACCCCTTTAAGCCTTGTGTAAACTGGGTCATGAAGAGCCTCTGCATTGTAGGCATGTGACTGGAGAAGCTCCGTTTTTTTGTCCAGATTCGGTAACATCCAGGAGAACAAAGTGCTAGAAGTGTGTGAAGGCCAAGGACAGAGCAGCCTGCTCTGGTCTGGACTATGGCGGTGCCTCCATAGTCTTGGAGAGGACCTGGAGGCTGTGAAGGAGCCTGGGCATATGCCTGACCATGGGGGCCAGTGTCTTCCCTGAATGTGGCCATCCCAGGGCAACTGTGGGATAAGAAGAAAGAAAAGGTCCATTTGGGAGGTTGAGACAGGCACCTAGGGGCCTCTCCTAAGGCGAGCCTGGCTGGAGCACAGTGCTCAGGAAAAGTCCTTGGGGACTCAGTCATGCACTCAGAGCCCGATTTCATGTGAAAAGATATCGGGAAAATTTCGGAACCAAATAGCAGTGATGGCACCTTGTTGCTCAAATCTATGAAGCTCATTTTGATGGCTTCGAGCGGATAAAGTGTCAAGGGCTTACTGTTAGGTCTCTTATCCCATCCACTAGCTGCCAAATATGGATTCAGCTGCATTGTATTGTATGAAAATCCATCCAGAAACCTTTTGTATCTGAGCCGCTTGTAGCTTTTAGCCACTGGAAGAAGTTCAGAGGAACATCGCCGATATCTTAGTTTCTGGGTGTTTGTGGCGGGGACCAGTCTGGAGGCAAGAATGGACAGCTTGTTTAGTAAGGCTGATTCTTTGGTAGGCTTCCTAACATTCAGGCTCCTCAAGGAATGGCACGGAGTCACCTTCTGCTTTGGTATGTGGCTCATTAAGCTCCTGGTTGGTACTGTTTCAGGTTCCAATTGTGCGGGTGCAGACATAGCACATGAACTGAGAAATCTGTGTGCTTTTGTGGGGATGGTTTCAGAGGAACTCTTTAAAAAGGCAGAACTTCTGATTTTACTTATTTTTTTCCCAATGTTGACTTGCTCCTGATAGGAAACTTTCTTACATGTTCGATGGGGCTGCTTCTTTAAGGGAAGCACTCTTTTCTGATATGAAGTGTTCCCAAAGGCACCGTGTATTTCATCACATCCAGCAGAGTTGGGGTTTTGTGCTTTCTGAGGGGCACCACGAAGGCAAGGATCTGTGTATGACACCATGTCTGTTTTTAATGGATGGCACAAGCTTTCCTCCTTTGGATTTTCCAGCTTCTGAAACTGTGCAGCAGTGTCACCCTTGGCTAGCTTTGCTAGAGTGATTTCCTTCATCATGGTGGACTCCCCTTTGCAATCCTTAGTTTGGTTCTTATCTTGCACTTCATCTGACAACACATTAGATGATGCACATTGTTCCAATATCCTGTGTGCGTCTTTTTGATGTAGATATTCCTCTTCATTCTGCAACATGTAGTCCAAAGCCCTCTGGCTTTGTAGCTCTTCAGTATCACCAAGCATCCTCTGGGATTTAGAGTGGGTCTGAGAAATCTCTCTCCCTTTATTATTACCAGCTTCTCTGGTGATCATCTTCTCAGACTCTTCACTGACAGTTAAGTAACCCAGGGGTCCCCTCTGATGTGCTTCAGTTTCTTCTCCTTTCAACTTAGTTTCTGTTTCCATTGTCAAAGGCAAATTTTGCATACTGCTGTCTATTCTGAGTCCTTCACTAGAATTACTCCCATCCCCTGGCACTCCTTCCTTCGTCTCAAGCAGGACTGTGCGGTGCTCTATGTTTTCACAAAGGATTTTACCATCTTTTGGTTTAAAAGGTTTTTTCAGCTCAGTTTCTCCACTATTAACATTACTTTCTGAATTTTCTTGAGAAAACAGATACAAAGGCATTGTCTCAATGGATTTCAGTCTCCCTATGGGAACAGGGCTCTCATCTGGGCATCCAGAAGACAGTAACTCTTCTGAGGAAATTCCAAAGGTATTTTCCTTGTCAAACTCAGAATTTATTTCCAGTCTTGATCCTTCAATCATTCCTTGTGTTTCTCTCAGGGATGCTTCTTTAACTTGCTCTTCATGATAAGTATTATCTAAGGACACATTTATACCATCCAATATTTTTGTATTTGATTCATGATCTGCAATAGACTCTATCTCACTGGCACAAGAGTCTGGACATGGACACACTTCCACTTCACAATCTTTTAATGATCTGCATACTTTCTCTTCACATGATTTTTTCATTTCCAGAGGCTCCACTTTAGAGGAAGTAGCATCTGGAAAATCTGAGTCCTGGTCAATCATTCTGATAAATGCAGCATTCAGTTCTCCTCTCTGAGGCAGGGTACTCACTGAGGTATCCTGTAACGTCAGCCCATCTTGTCCTGCACCACCATCAAGGGTACTAGATGTTTGTAAGTCCAACATGCTTTCTGTAGACTTACTACCACAGTCTGTGTAGACAGTGTCTACCATGCCATCTGTGGACTCCTCACAACCAGAAATATGTCCATCGTCTCCTTTCAAATTGCCTTTCTTTGAACTACCACCAGACAAAGGGTTGTTACTGCCTGAACCAACTAACAGATCCTTTTGATTGTTGCTTACCTCTCTGTTAGGTTCTGTAACAGTCTCCCTCTCATCACCATGTAGTGTCTGCTTAGTTGGTTTATCTTCACTTCTGCATTCATCTGGTCTGTTTTGGTTATTCTGGCAGTCAAGAACTTTATCTCCTTTTTGCTCAAGAGTTTCAACTGCTTGGCTCATGGTTTTGAAACTGGAGAACATAATAGTAGGAGACTGGTCCAAAAATTTTTCAGGGCTTGGAATGTTTGCAGATAAATTTAGTTCTGGTGTGGAACAGTCAGAGATGTTATACTCGCAAAACACAGTCTCTTTAGGTACATCCCATTCCTTTGCTTTCAGACCTTCCTCACGGGGCTGGGTGTGACTGGTGGTGGGAATGGTTTTGTCTGAAGCTTCACTACTTAACATGCCTACTGGTGTATCGTTTCTGATCTTATCTCCTGGGAGGCTGCCTTTAGTTTCTCCCCTAGCAAGTTCACTTTCTTCTGATGTGTAACCCACTTTATGGGTGCTACTTTCTGTGCAGACTTCTCTTCTTTGGGAGTGGTCATTGCTGTGCTGAAATGCATCTTCACACTTGGTTATTAAAGAGTTTTCAACTTCTAGGATGATTCTGCTGGACTCACACGCAGCACAAACAGAACACATGCTCTTTTCTCGTGCATTTTTATTTACACAATGACAGCTAGAGAGATCCTGAGATTGAACACTCTGACATTCCATAGCAGAGACCTCTTGAGGCAAGACTGCTGATTCTTTCTTTCTTGCGAGAAGGCTGGAATGTAGATGTACTATTCCTGAATCAGCCATCTTGTCTTGTCTTTCTAGGCTTCCTGGTTTGATGTTTAAGGTGGGATTGTTTGAAGAGGCACCACAGGTTTTGTCACCTGATGGAGAGATGTCTTTCATTTTTGTTTTGATGGGAATGGTCTGGGTATCAGCAGTGACATCTGCTCCATCCTCTAATGGAGGGTGATGGCTCTGTTGGGAATCCTCGCTTGTTGCTAAAGGCATCTCTTTGTTAGCTGACAACTTTGCATGGTCTTGAGAATTAAGGGGCACTTGATTTAAAGCACATTCACTTTCTATTTTGTTTATAACCAGTTCATTGGTACGAGGAAGTTCATTCATCTCACAGGCAGTGCTCTGATCATCTAAATGTGAACTATCGTCCAGTGAGGTCTGTACAGCTTGCTCTGACTCAGGTCTGTAATCAAATTCTAGGGATAGTGGTAACTGAGCAGTATCTTTCTTGGGTTTTGACACCTCATTCATAGGACTTATCTGGTCCTCTGGCATTAAACTCACAAGGGATTTTCTTTCATTCAGAAATTCATTACATGATGCTTCATTTAACTGGGTGTTGCCTTCCAGATTTTTCTGGGTGCAGACTAAGGAGTTAGAGTCTTTACTGTAAATCTTTTCAGTTACCATATTGGGCTCTATAGTGGTTGTCTGTTCTGGCTCTTCAATCTGCATTAAGGAGGAAAAACTGTTCTCTTCAGAGTGTCTACCTGGATGGCTCATATCCGTAGAAGTTCCTCTATGGTCCTCATGGTTTGTCAAGCTACCTTGAGTGTCTAAAGTGATTTTTAAGTCATTTTTTTTTAGCGCTACTTCCGTGGCTTCGGTGAAAGAATTGGGCACTAAAGAAACAGGGCTGTCTGTATGGATACTGTCTTGAATGCAACAGTTACCATGAATATTCACTTTTGGGGAGGTAACAGTCTCTTTTTCACCAGGACAATGACCATTAGCATCCTCTTCTGGTTGCCTGGCATTAACAAGAAAGAGTTCCCCTCTTTCACTCCTAAGGTTCAAAAACTGTTCATTTTCTCTTCTAGTAGCCAAGTTCTTGCTTTGATCACCCCCATCAAAACAGGAATTGTCTGTCTTCTTAGCAGATCCCTTCAGCAAGCCATCAAAACCACATGTTTCTAAGGATGTTGTTCTGGATTCTGGACCAGACAAACTTGATGAGAAATATGAAATGTCAGAATTTTCTTCTAAGGGTTCTACACAAACTACATTTCTTGTGGCCCTGGGACTGCCATGGGCAAAACTGTGGTTTTCATTATGGTGGCCGAGAATCTGTTGGTGATTGTCATCTGCTTCACAGACAAGGTTTAACTTAGACAACTCTTCCTTCTCACTGTCCACTTTGGAAATGGCACTGTTCCCTGGTAATAATGACAACCAAGAAGGACAAGTTTTTAATTCTTCACATTCTTTTTCTTTAGAAGATGCTTCTGTTAATCCAGGGTCCACAAAGGTTAAAGGCTCTAGGGAAACTAATGTGCTGGTTTCTGAAACCTCACCACTGGTCATGGTTTTGTCTACTTCTGGGTATTCGCTGCACCCAGCTGAGAGACCTTTACTCACATTGCCATTCTTGTGTCCTTCATTATAATCCGTCTTAGTCCCATTGACCTTCATACCTTGTACTTCTTCAGTAGATATAAGCAGAGTTCCAGTTGTAATTTGTACATTTCCTTCTGCCCAAGAGAAATAAATCCAAATAAGTATGCAATCATAAAAAAAACAAAACTGTGTGCTATACTTTCATGAATTTAATCATGCAACCAACAGTGACAAAAAAGATCCAACTCAAAAAGCAAATTACAAAGTTAGTACACTGTACCATTGGTTTTGTTCTTTTATGCAAAATATGACAGAGGGCCAAAAGTGTACTTGGCAGAAAATAGATAATTTTGAACTAACACCCTTCTCTTGGTATTAGTTATTTAAACGTACTTACGTACCTAGATAATTAACTACGATACGAAGACTTATACGTAATCCAGAGTCTTAAGAAGCTTCCATTCTAAAACATTAATAAAGAAGACCCACAATAATAGCTTATATTATTCAATGACCATCTTATTACCTGAATAATACTAAATTAATCATAAATAAATTGCCTCTTTGAAAAAGAACAGTTACACACAAAACCTATGTTAAAGAGATTAATATATAAGTTGAACATTAGTTTTAAACCAAATTACTTACAGTAACTGCTTCCCTACAAGGCTGGTCATGAGCTGGTAATTATTGAAGCTGAGTGACAGATACATGTGGGTTTAGTATACTCTCCACTTCTCAATAAATTAAAAACTTTCTACTATGAAACATTAAAAAACAAACAAAAAACTTTCTAAGAATGTAAATGCAATTCATAAAGAAGTTTTATTGTTCAGAATTTCTCTGAAATCCTAGGTATAAGATGCAGTATGAAGTTCCCTGAACTTGTTAAACTACAAAAAAAATTTTCTTCCTTGCTCTTTTTAGAAAACTAGCACAAAGTTATACATATACATGTAAATTATGTACATATTTGCATGCATACACATATGTTAACAAAATACCTGCAGTAAACAGATAAAGCTAAATGCAAATCAATCTTCAACCTAAAGAACTAATTCTCACTAGAATATAAACTCCATGAAGGCTAAGGGTCATGTTTATCTTGGTCTCTCCCTTTCCTTATTGCCCAGCATAATACCTGGTATATAATAGCACTCAATAAATCTGTGGAATTAATAAATGAATACAGTTAGGTCAAACCAACAAATGCTATCACTAGTGTCTTCCTAGAACTTCCTTATCCATTTCTCAACTGATACTGACAGCAGCAATTCTGAGAGAAAGAACAGCAACTCTGAAGGCAGGTGGGCTCTGTGATCTTACTTACCTCACTGAGTCTGTTTCCTCCTTTGAAAAAGAGGAGAAGTACACTTACCTCAGTGCTACTTTGAGGATTAAATTAAATAACACATGTAAACCACCACCTGGTACAGAGCCTGCCATTTAAAGAAAAACTGCTTTTCCTTTGCTCTGCTTTCTTTCTTATCTTACTGGACCTGAGAATAGTTAAAATGATAAACTTAATAACTATGCTAGGATAGGACACAATGTTTAAAAATGTTTGGAGTCAGCAAATACTTGATGGATAAATGCATATTGGATTCCACAAGTTTGTACAGATTCCAAAAACATAAGGTAGCCTCAAAATCCTAATGCCCTACATGGTATTTATCTTTTTGAAACCAGCCTACTTTCTACATCATAGCAGACAATTCTATCCTATTTATAAATTCCTAACTGCATTTACCCCAAATGGTTTAGTGTATCTCTTCTCCAGACACTATGGCATTCATTAAACCATTTGTGTAAATTCTGGGCTTTTCTACTCTGTTCCAGCACCATCTTAGTTGAATCCTTCATTATAACTTCTCAGGAAAACTGTAAAACTCTTCCCCTCTCCAAACTGTTCACTGTGCAAAGCCCTTAAGGCAAGATTCTCCCTCAGAGCCCTTACCTGCTGGAAGAATACCTGTTCTCAACTTAGTTGAGAATCTTAGGGAGGAGGTAGGGGAACACTCATTTCCCAGGTGGTATAATGCTGAAGGCTGGTTGGGGAACAGGGGTTGTGTACTGCTTGAAAACAAAATGATACTCTGCTTACTCCTTTACTTGACTGATTGACTGACTGGGGGAGCAGGCAGAGAGAGTAGACAGTCCCAGGCAGAGGATGTGGGACTTGAACTAACAAACTGTGAGATCATGACCTGAGCTGAAGTCAGACGCTCAACCAACTGAGCCACCCATGTACCCCTCTTTTACTTGTGTTTTCTTTTTTCATGTAGAGACTTTTTTTTTAAGTTTATT